GTATTGAGTTGCTACTAGAAATAGCGATATCATTTTCTCTGTTTTGTTTTATACCCGAGCTAGTACAATTCGTTAGCCCTAATCGATAGTAGCTGATAGACGCACTTTGTTTTCGGTATATATGACACGCGTGATCATTTATGTCATTTCCCATATTGATTACTTGCTTAGTGTGGTAGAAAACTCATGTGCTCTCTTAGAGATCGCTAGACATGATTTTGGAAGTTTTCCTTAGGCAGCTTCCGCTCAACTGCATTGCCTAATCAGACGAGCCACTTTCGTACCATAAAAACACATTACATACAGAGCAAATCGAAGGTTTGGATGGATAGGTCCGTGAAGAAGCTGACCTATCTAAAGCCATTCCTTCGATGTCACTTGCATAGTCGGCGGGAAACAGCTTTTGACAGGACCAAGAGCTCCATATATATATAAACACATCGTAGGATTGTATCCAATTTGGCAAAATGGATACAACTCGTATTGTCTTTGGCCGTGATCCAACTAAATTGTAATAACTTCCACCGAATTAGTTGTCCTGAAAGTGAGTTTATGAATCAAACTTAGGACTATTCTAAGGACGGTTATGCCAAGCAGTTCGCGAGAAGTAACACGGATAGAGCAGAAGCAGAAAGGATTCCTGCCAGTTTGACAGGTATGACAAGCGCCATTGCAAGTCACCGGTTTTTATCACCGATGCTGCTGTACCCGTCGGTAAGGCAGAACAGATGGGTCTTGGTCAAAGCTTGCTTAGTTGACTACGGAGAGCCTCGGGACGGAGCGAGCAGGAGGGAACAAATGGCGAGTATATGTTGCTAGGACGATCAACGCCCGAGCAACATGTTCGCAGCACCCGCCGTAGCAGAATTGACGAGTTCATCACCCCTCCATGACGGTCGGAGCTGCACACGAACGAGTGGTTAGTGTGAGATGGTGAAATAACCCAATTCAACTCCAGACCCCGTAGCGTGTCCCACCGTGCCCCCTGGGACACTTTTCGCCTGTTTCCCAAACCAACTAGTTAGGAAAGTAGCCACCGTCCTCCGTAACTAACGAAGGACTCTCGAGACAGCGCCTTGTCTCTCTCTCTCTCACGCTGAGTATACGCTCCCGTCTACTTGTCACCGCACAGACCAAAGATGTTTAGCATTGGCAGCGGATATCATGCGGTCTAGCTTTTTCAAATTTTTTTTTCGACGGAAATTGGATAATATGCATTGCCTATTTCTCTTATTGTTGTTGCTATATTGTCCTTGGTTTTCCTTAACCCGAAGCTTTCTTGATTCTGTGTCCATTTCGCTGTGCCTTAAAAATCTATCTCATTCCAGATAAATAGCATTAGCCTCTGCTGTGTTGCCTTACCTGTATGAGAACAAAAACCCAGTCTGCTGGCATTAGCTATTCTAAGCTCAAGGCTCTATTGGCACACGAAAGGGTCGTTTAGAATCGGAATGGCTGTACCTGTTCGGTGGGGTGGTGACAAGTTGACGCAAGCTAACAGCCTTTAACTAATTAATAACCTTCAAGCACGACTGAACCTGTTTGACTGACGCATCATCTTCGTAGCGTGTCGTCTCGACGAATCGTGTGTACGCTATCACAATACTGCATTGTCCGAAATGGGGCAGTACGTCATTTGACGAAGCTGCTTGAGAAAGATTAATTCGCCCTTCGACACCGACATGTACAGAATATCTATTTCCTGCTGCTATTTATGGCTGGCCGTATACCGGGGTAAGCACGCTATCGAATCGTGTCTCGTAGAACCTAAATCTGCGATTTCGATTGACTCCGTGATTACTGCTAATTACTTTAACTTTTTTGTAGCCGGGGATCCCGATAGAGGGATGACTTGTTGTATCGTGTTTCGTAGATATGGTAATCGGTTATTGTACCATAGTGCACTGTTCTTACTTACGTATTCTATTCGTTAGAGAGGGCGCCACCAGTGCACCGTCCTCGTAGAGGTACCCTCCATCGATCAGCCGTTCCTGTCGGCCCGTCAGCATCTTTGTCGTTGATATATATATATATATATATATATATATATATATATATATATATATATATATATTACGATGATTACATAACTAAACGCATCGTTCATTGATTTGCAAGTACAATACAATAGTATAGAATTCTATGATTGATCGTCCGAAAATGATTTACTCGAACCATTTTTGATAGTGAAACCGTAGCAAATGATTAGGTTGTCTAGGATTCCGAAGCTTTATGTGATCCTTATGTTTGTTCATTTAGCTTGTGAATTTAGCTGATGTAGTGGATCTACGTAGGCGTTTCAACACGTAGCGGGCGATTGGAAAGTTTGTATTTGCGTGACTGGCGCTGCAATCGCGGAATGGGCCACAAAAGTGAGAGATCTATATTAAAGCTGCTAGGGGCAAGCTGAACTAATTAGCTTAGTTCAACACTGATTCGTGCTTTTCTGAATCTTGATCAGCTGAAAATAAAAGCTTCTTGTCGCACTAGCGAAACTGTGCATATTATTTATCATATCTTGTTTTTTTTTCATGGCAGGTTCGGCCCTGCAAACTCCGAGGTAGGCAGCATCCAGGACCACTCTGGCAGAGTAGCGGGGGCCATGCCCATAATGAAAACATCTACGAGCTCTTTATTCAATTATGTGTTCTGAAACGCTATTCAGAGCAGAAACTATATATTTAACTATACACTTTTAACGATGTTCCTGGGTCCTGCTAGCCAGCCGAAATGACCCGCAACTTATGTTACCGGCTTACCACTTGTAGAAAATGCTGTAGACCAGGTAGATTTGACTGGCCTCATTTTTGTTCTATATACCCTAGTTACCATATTGTAGCTTGCAACGGTAGATACGTGATATGCTACACGGAATGCCATTGTAAAGAGTAGACAACAAGTTCAAATGAACGCTATGGCATGCATTTATGTACTACTAGATGACAGTGGACAGTTCAATTCTTTAACTTAGCCCGCACCACCAATAGGCAATTCACTACGTTTCGTTTACTTCGAAATAGAACCCAATGTGACAGGTTGTAGGAACCTGTCACATTGGGTTCTATTTCGTAAGAGCAATAGCCATTCATTTTGTCAAAAATTTACTCAGAAACATTTTGATGCATCAGTATCAATAACACGAAAGCAAACAAAAAAAAAAACACTTGAAATAATATGTAATTCAATGCCGTTTATTTCATCGTCGTTAATGTAATTTCCGGTTTTTGCCTCTCAGCCATCATTTCGTTTATAGCTTTGGAGTTTCTCCCGAAAAAGTAACTATGTAAATTTCGTAGAAAATGTATATATTTCTGAATAATTAGGACAACAGTAGTGTGTATATGTGTATATATATATATACACACATATGCGCACTATTGTTATTTCTCCTTGGAAAATCTATGTAGTTTGCTTCAGCATTTCCATGGTTGCTTCAACCGGTTGTGACCGAATGGTTTTACAAACAACACACAGCAATAGGTCAAAGAGCAATAACTGGAATCGCTAATGGCTAGTAAGTAAAAATTTAGGCTAAAAAAAAAAGTACGCTTCATGAACATTTGAGCTGTTGATTTAGACCAATGATAGTACTTTCCAGAAAACCGAAACAAAACGTTTTTGACTTTACCGCATATAATAATAATTCGGCTGTTAGAAACACGTAGAAGTAAATCTATACAAATTGCTACTAAAGCTAACAGTACACACGAGCCATGAAGACAATTACGTATGAGGTCGTTGAAGGCAAAAATGTTCCTGGAAAATGGAAATTGTCAAAGGCCTATGGTTTACGTGAGTCCCCCATTGACGTTTACTATATTAGCAGGAATGGTAGTGCTGCAATCGATCTTAAAACGCTTCTACCACAAGCCATTTTAGCTGTGTAACAGATAATAAGAAAATTCCAATTCAAAATCGGTTCATTGTCAACGTGTATTTTAGGGTTGGATAGAGACGAAGTTAATCGTAAAAACTCTTTATCGTTAAGCTGTACAGTGTACGTAGATATAGCGATCTCGTCACAGTTGGAGCCCAGAATAACGGCCAATAGTTAGGGAAAGGACACGACTGATGGATAGCAAAGTTGACTGATTTAGCATAATGCTTGAATATAATTAGAAACCAATTTTCCGCGGATCTCTTACAGATGTAGTTCCGCTCCTGGCTTTTTGTAGCAGGATACCACGTTAAAGGTTTGGTGCTTTAGGGTGGGACAATGGTAATGTGTGCCTTATATGACACTTTTATCATACGAAACTCAAACTCGACTTCATATTACACTTGTCTATGCCATCATTGTCGAAGACAGCCATGAGTGAAGCAAACGAATACAGAGTAATCACTAGTTTTCGAAACGTTCGCATTTACACGGTTCAAACACCCACCGTAGAATTGCAGGAGACGCCAGGGATTGGACAAGCTACAGAGAACTTAATACGAACGTACACGAACAATACATGAATCACTACGAAGGACATCGTGCAGATGTTTTCGTGTAACCCAACCAGCGTCACGGAACTGCATGACGGGTCTCCTGGCGTCGTGGGGCTCGTCCCGTTCTCAGTTACCGAGGGCTGAGCGGACACATACCATAACCCTTTTACCTGCTTTTGTCCTCATCTGTATCCTTACCTGAACACCTCATATTGTAATACAATAATGGCATGCGCGATTGTGGCTGTAGTTTCGAAGATTTTTGCGACGCGTGGCGAACGTCGACGGGGTTCGGGCCGGCGGCAACAAAACCAGTTACTGACCTTCTAGTTGGAACTCTAACAAATGTTGAATTGAATAAATTGGGTAAAATCATTTTGTTAAGCGATTCGTGATAATCGTTTGTTTTTTTTTGATGAACTCTAGCCTGATCAGCTGGTAGTATGTCTAGCTGATGGCCCATATTTATTTAAGGGTGCTGTTGTTTTTGTCTAAGTGTCGTTAGTATTGTACTTTAGATCCTAGGGTAGTTTAGTAACTAGATCGTCTTTTTGTGTTGTTTGTAGTCGAGCTAAATGGACAGCAAACGTCTCCGCCGTTGCTAACGCAAGCGCTATCAGGTAATGAGCCAACAGGCCTTTATCAGTCGTTTGCTTCAACAATAACAACCATAGCAGTGATTAGATCTCTTTGTTCCCATGTGGAAAAGTCCATACGACCATAGCTCCAGCCAACGTAACGTTACATTGACTTGATGTAACTAACTTACCTATAGACAATATCATGTGTTACCGATTCATGTAACTTCTGTTCGAACAAACGTACTCGATTGAATTTACCTATTACCGTGATCCAATCGTACGTTTCGCTTCTAATGTCATCACCTTCCTTAATATGTAGAAAAAAACAAATTTACAGGTGTCCGAAAAATATATATGTGTGTATATGATGAAATAAAAGCGAAGATTCCAACTCAAATCTTATTTAAATGTTATTATGTATTCAGCTTGTTAATCAATCGGTGCTTTTCGATGTACGCAACGTAAAAATACGGAAAAAGGAACTAGCTATTAGCGAATATACCTATTTTACGACGAAATAAGTAGGGCCGCCTTTATCTGTTGTCAATCAACGGACCTTAACAGTAATCATGGCAAAATACTACACGCCTAAAAATAAATAGCGATTGTATATTGACTATCTATTTACGTTTATGCCATTTTAGCCTTCTCTCAATAACAGCACGAAACCTGTAAAAATGATACGTGTTTCTATACGATGATGACAATGAGCAATTTTAACTGCTGTATGAGACGTATCGAATCCACGTAAAAACGTCCAGCACTTAATTTAGATGAACGATTATAAAGCTGTAGATACGCGACAAAAACAACCAGTGTAAATTGTTCTACCGAGGTTCAATCTAGCCTAACTAAGCGATATTTAATTATAACGATAACGACAATACAGCCTAGATCCGTTCTAGTAATAATAATTATATATCATAGATGAGTATATGTGTTATACTGTATTGTACTTTAAGATGTGCGCAATAGATAGAGCTAAATTGATCTACTGTACTGATAATTTACTGGATATTCATTTCGTTTCTTCTGTGTTTGTGTTTCTCTTTGCTCTTGTTGTTCCTGTTATTATTGTTTTTGCTTATTGTATTTCTACTGTTATCGACGACTTGCAGTGATCAACAGTTACGGGCCACAAGGTTTCGCTGCAGCCCCTGCCTCGCCAGCGAACGGAGCAGGGCCAGTTGGTGCTCGCGGCCAGCAGGCGTTCGGCTCAGGGGCGGTGGCTGGCGTAGGCGGAGTGGGTGGAGCAGCTGGCGCCATGGGAGCTGCCGGGAACACGGCCAGTCCCGGCCCTTTAAGGTCGGCGGCTGGCATCCAGGAGCTGTACACGACGTCAGCTTGTGGTGATAGCAGCGCCGTCAGCTACGTTCAGACGGCGACGTCACCTCAGCCATCGGGCTTCCCGCCGCTCACTGTCTCGATGGGCCCGCTAATGGCGGCCGCCTTTGCCAATGGTTATCACTAGAATGTCCCAGAATTCCCTCTCCGCCCCTTCCGCCCCCTTGATGAAAAATACGTCCCCGTGGTCTGATCGCACAAGCGTTCATCATATAGTAATAATAATAATAACAACAAGGACATAGTAAGTGGTTAGCTTAGGGGATCGATTAGTCAGTTGACATCGTCTGCCATCGTGTGATCTAGTGACAAGCGTGCGTAATACAGGAAAAACACCTTCCATTACGTTACGACTTGAGTGGCAATAATTCTCGCTTCGGCTATAAAGAACCTCATGTAGACACAGAAACAGATGTTGAACAAAAGCATTTGACAGAAAATAAAAACTCTCTGCCATCGATTCATAAATTTTCACTATCGCGCTTCAGCATCGTGAAGACGACATGAATAAATGAAGCGTGCTTAGACATCGCTCGTTGAACACTGCGGTACATAGATATTCTTAGCGAAGCGCTATAGGTCACGCAGTAGGAGCGGGCCTTAGGACATAGCGCGTTGTACGTAACGTCGTGGACCTCATCGACGATGAGGATCACCATGACAGAGCGGTCAAAGTATTACTTAAGCATCGACCCTGACGATGACAATGATGATCAATAAAGAAGATTTAGAGGAATAATAATTGAAAAACATATGCGACGGATCCGGGGATTGCCATCGAGCACAACCCCTGATCTGACTCGACCCTGTGCGATCGAATTCGTCTACAATGGCGACACGAGCGGCACAGGGAGCGAGAGGGAAGGGGCTGACGTTTGTCTGGTCTTAATCATCGCCATAAAAGAACAACGCAAACGGCAAATTAGACGACATCGCCTGCAAAGACAAAAAGTAAGCTAAGATGCGTTGGACTGATTCGATCGTCGGAATCGTCGACCAGCTATAAGGTGCGAATGAGGAATATGCAAACGGAAGGAGGGAGAAAGGAAAATGCTAAAACAACAACCGTTATACTTACTATTTGTGTAATAGAGCAATCTAAGCAGGGAAGTAAACCAGGCTATAACAAAAGAGAGCACGTCTTGAGCATACTGCTTAAACGGATATAATTAACAGACACTTACATGGGATAATTCAACATGTAATTATCATCAGGGAACAACTCTATGAAGACTGAAAGACGAGGTGAGTTGATCAACTGAAGTTGTTTTGTTCGTCAGAGTTTATTCGTATGCAGTCATTCGGCAGTGCATCTATATATATATATATATATATATAGAGAGAGAGAGAGGCAGAGAGAGAGAGAGAGAGAGAGAGAGATAGAGAGAGAGAGAGAGAGAGAGAGAGAGAGAGCGGGGGGGGGTACAGTTTGGGCGCTTATAATAGGCACTAATGTGTCACTCATTTACAGAGACGATGACGAAGATGCAGCGATGAATCTCAGGGAAAGGCATCAACACTCTGTCGTCACGTGAAAGAAAAAAAAGTAATTCTATTATAAACTTTACTGCATGTGAATACAATTAATAGTCTAGTAAGCCAACTGAATTCACAGCCCTTATTAAAACGGCTTATATACAGGGTGTTTGAAAATAATTCAAGCTAAGTGATTACGGATGTCTGACCTAAGGGACTAAAAGGGTTACGTTTTTCGAACACTACATGCCGTGCTTTTGAGTAAGTCTTTAAAAGATCATATCATAACCTTCAGAACACCATAGATAATCCGAACGATACTTGTCTGCAGGTAACAAGTCGGCCTATAAACGATCCTGTCACAGTGACGATTCTGGCTTACTTGTAAAGAAACACTATTTTCACATACATTTATGTGTGTAAACAGAAGAGAAATGCAGTTGTTTTCGATTTAACAACGAGGCAATTCACATGTCTGGTCTCACTTCGATTAGCACAAACATACTACTAAGAGACGAACTATATCTGTTAACATGATCAGTATCTCGTCCCATTTCAGGTCGGTGTGGCCTGGTGCGCATTTCAACGACCCGTGACAATACGCTCACGCTCGTGTGTGGAAAGGCAAAAAAAATTGCCCCATCCGCAAATGTGACTGCGAAACAAATAGGAAAAGACGAGCCGCCGAAGACAAGCGCTAAGATAGAGGAGGCTAAGATAGAGTTCGGTTTGTCTGAACTTTACGAAGATTCCTATCTCACGGAGAGTGTTGCGGTAGAACGGCGTCATCCTGTACGCAACAGTAGCAGCAGCAGCAGCAGCAGCAACAATGAATTCATTGCTCTTTAAGGAATAGTAGCGGTTTGCAGATTGCCACCGATGCTAATAAATGATCGAGCGGTTCCCAGCCCCCACAGGAACAAAGAAGTTTCAAACACAGCTGTGGTTATGGAAGATATGAAGAGAAGCATGAGCTTACTATTCTACTAGCAAATAATGTGACGTTGATCATGTTGAAGACGTAAGAAATGATACTGAAAAAAGACGGCGCAATCGATGGATATTACGTGATATTTTATCTATCAAGCAGACAACATTAATATATATAATGATACTGATAATAACATGAATTATAACGGATAATAATATTAAACAAAGGATAACGTCTACGAAGACAGCGGCCAAAAAACGAAAACAAATGAAGTGACAAACAGAAGGTAAACGAAAGCTGCGGCAAATGAAAAACGAAGATAGTTTGAAAGCTGTCATAAAATTAATACTGATGATAAATACTATTATTAATGATAATTACATGTCGTGAACACTGTGACGGTTACAAACTTGTAATAATAACAACTATATATACATAGGTGGCATGAAATATGCACTCGGTTGGACAAGAAGTTTTTGTCCTATTTTCGCCGGTTGAGGGCTCTCACAGAACATGAACACAGAACAACGGTAGCCATTGGGTCGATTATGGCGAAAGCTAGTAGAACATTTACAATGGTGATCGAGTACGCGTCGCCTCTCCCAACGAGAAAATTTGGCGTATGGCGGAGCCCTATCCGCCGACAGACAATGAACTCCAAAGGCAGACCCACCCTTAATGAGTTGCCCTTGGCCGGGGATTAGACCGTTGGTAACAAACTCTTATCGAAATAGGATATAAATATCTACACGCACTCAAAATGACGCTACGACTAATGATATATTCGTGGTAATGTAAGAAAAATACACTTAAGTATCTTCCGGCATCGACAAGCAATGTATATATATATATATATACATAACTATTATTGTTTGAATAAAACATTGAAGTAACAACTGCAACATCGAAGCCAGCCCAGGTAAATACAGATCATCAGCTATGATTTTCTCAAGCGGCGAAACGATAGAGGAAATTAACGCTACCTTGTAGTGTACAACAAAGGACACTAACGATGATTTCCATTTATTAAAAAGGGCAGGGTACCGCCGAACTGGTTAAAAACAGCATGACACCTCCTGCCTCCGTCTCGTCCACAATGGACATCTTTATAGGACTTGTCTTTTTAGATAAAGAAGACAGCCAATACAATCAAATCAAGGGAATAACAGCGGTCAAGTATACGAGAATTGCGTTGCTCCTCTAAACGAGACAATACAGAGACTGAATGAATGTCTAACATCGGCTCTATAGATCCAATGCGCCATTTTGAAGAACACAATCCCCGTGATATGATTCCTAACTAATGTTCCTCGTAGCGTACAGTGGGCAAATCCAGCCCGATTTTTAGATAACCGAAATCCGACTCAACAACTCGTAGACCCATTCGTTATCCCTAACGGGTAGACAATCTATAATTGGGGCAACGCTGTCAGCACTTACTATAAAGTGACAAAAAAAAAATACTTTTTTTCTATTGGCCTTACTGCGGACTATCTTTATTTAATTTCAGCTCATCTCAACACTACTAGAAGGTCATATACAGTTCAACTGATATGCAAGTACATACAAAAAATTAAAACAGTAGACCGAGGCTTAGTCGTACCTATCGCAGGGAGCAGCATAGTAAGTAAACATGGTAAAAAATAACCTAAATCAACACCTGGCATTGTCACCGTTGTTAACGTGTGTTAGTGTGCGTGGGTGTGTGTGCGGGCGTGTGTCTATATGTGTGTGTGTATGTGTGTATGCGTCTGTGTGTATTTGTGCATGTGTGTGTGACAATGAAATTTCATTACGGAGCGAGATTATGCCAAACGAGACGGAGATACAGCACAGATGTTGCAATCTTAATCTTCCCTTGAAAATTAAGGTTTATGGTTTTGTTTGTGCCTGATAGTGGTATTAACAGTAATACTAGGTTATCAAGAAAGAAGAAATACGAGCGTTAGACGAAAAGGAGCTGAAATTACCTAATCAAAGAGCAGTTTATCACTTATTTCGTCGGCCACATATAGTCACGCCCATGACGACTAAGCTAATGAAGAACACCATGATAATTTTTATTGAAAAACACCGGCAGAGCGTTTGGCGCCATCATACAGCCCGTAGCGCCTAAGCGTATAGGTATACTATTATTATTTTTTATCAATCATGAGAACTATTCTAAGCATCGTTGACTATCGAGGGCGGCGGCTGGCGCCGGCGTATTCCTCGCTGCCCTTGTTGCATCTGACGGTGCCTAGGTCGGTGGCACCCACGACTATAAAGGTGCGCGCAGAGATCATTGGCATCCAAATTACCAATCTGCAATTCGTTCTCGTCTGTGTTAGCCATAGACGGCAGAATTAAAGCCATTCCAAATGACTAAGCTTAAACCCAATTATGTGGCAGAAAGAAGCAGAAGACAGCTCTTTCGAATTTAGCACTGTTCACCAGTATGTCCCGCAGACGATGAAATGCGAGAATGAACGGCAAGAAATAATAGAGGTGCTACCAGCAGCTCTTCGGTTTCATCAGATCAAACAACGAACAGGAACAGAATAGAAAAAGCGATCAGCAGTCCGACACTTTGTGAGCGCATCAGCCTGACCTAAGTACCGTAAATAACAAAGCAATAATCGTTCCGCAGCAATAACCGCAGTAAATACTCAAGCAAATATAAATCCAAAGACGATTATAAGGAAGCCCAAATTGGAACCCAACCGAGTCTATTTCTGATAACCCAGTTGAAACAGCAGTTAATGAATGCTATATATATATATATATATATATATATATATATATATATATATATATATATGTATATATAACAATAGTGCCGAACAGTGAGCTCTACTAGTTCTGGCAAAAATACACAGCATAAATATTATACACTACGCCATGCTACTAATGTATAAACACACACGTGCAGATCTCACATACAACGTTACATACAATAAACATCTGCAGGCACACATGTCACGAGGAAATGGTAGACACGAAAAAAAAAACATTTGTTGGCTGTTTTCAACGTGTCGATAATCAGATTAAAGAATGATGATAAATTGATATTTTTTATAAACTCCTACCAGATCCTGGTGGGGGCAAGGGGAGGGGGGACTCTGAATGACGTAAGGGGTAGCGCACTCATTGAATGCATTTTGTTTGTGGGTGTGCGCGTAAAGCATTGAAAGCAGACGAAAACTAGTTCCTCGCCCTATATCTGTCTGCCCATTTTAAGGCGCCTTAATAATAAAAAGAATAATGTTAATGTTAGAGAGTTTGCGAATTAGATGAAATTTCCTAAATATCGCCATGTGTTTGCCTGCTATTTTGGTACGTTCACATTCAAACACAGAGATTACACAAGAGTGTTGGTTCCCCGACAACAGTTCGTGTAAAAATGGCAAACAAGAAAGACGGATTTGTATAATGTATTGACTAGTACACACCTCTATATACACATTTATTTATATAACAATAACACATGTATGGTTATAGTCAATAACAATAATAACTCAATGGTGGAGTCGTAAACAAGGACGCGCTGCCTAATGACGCTAGTAGTACGACACAGGCATCATCAATGGACATGGATCACAGCGCACCCTGAATCCACATACATACTAATCCTAACTAATAATAACATGAGCGATAAGTATTGCCTAGAGGATACCATAAATCTAATCAGCAACCATTAGAATTACTCTATTTACATTTAGCGAACGTTTTCTCAGATCCCCACCCCGTCTCCGTTGATGAATACTCGAACCATTTCAATTCTATATTGAATACTGCTATCCTTAGCACGCATCTTAGCCGCATTCTAACTATCTAGATACAATCTCTTTAGGTACTGATTAGTGGCCGGCCTCTCGGTGCAGGCATACTGAAGGACGAGCAAAATCTAGAAAAAGCGAAAATCAAAGACAAGGCAGGCGATCAAGGACATGGCCTCAGAGTGTGCGCCATCTCTGGCGATGGGACGTGGTATCCGTTTCTGTGGAGCGCCGGCCGCCACAAGTTCTATGACGTCGTCATGCGCGCATACATATTTGCGACTGCGTCTCATACGTGTGTTTCGCAATGCGAGTAGCGTGCGAAGTTAGGTAGATTTTGCTAAAACGTTCCCCCTTGTTCGGCAAAAGGCTTGAAGCAGAAGCTAAAAAACTGGCCAGTCTGACCAGGGCTATGTAGCGTAACGCATTGGTGACACCATTCAATATTGATATAGGAATTATACGTCGATGACGCAACCGACGTCGACTGAGCTGGGTAGGACTCAAAATGGAGATGGAAATGATAGCAGAGAAGGGCGCCGGGCCTGCGTAAATGGTTGGGGTAGCATTTTCTTCGATGGCCTGCGTTGTTCGGGAAGGACTGCTCATTCTACTATTTTTCAACTTCCGAAATTCTGAGGCGATCTATAACTGTCTTATCGTCGCTCGTATGATATGCAGCCATTCTGACTAGAACTACTCGAGAAGGACCCTAGTGGAAGTTTGATCGAAAAATGTCAGGAGCACAAAATTCATAATTAGCCTTCAAATAAGTTACCGCAAGGCGACGAACACTCAATGCTCTGCTTAGTTCGACGATATGTTTAAGCATCGTCAGAGAAATACACTGAGTAGTAAACAATGGAAACTGGGGAAGTGAGCGGGGCGTTTTGCTAGCCTGTTTCGGTGGTCAGAGTCTTGCCCGTTTGGCCCCGGCCGACGGACCTGTTAAAATGGAGTTGAAAAACGCGGCTTTTGATTGCCACTAGCCAGAATCGAATCTCTAATCAAAGTATACCAAATACTAAAAATAACGTTAGCTAATAACATTCGAAAACGGAGAGAAAAATAACAGCCTGAAATGACAGCAGAAATTACGGAGTCAGAAATGAAGCACCTATGACGACGAAGAAGCACATATACAAGCATGCAGATAAACATTGAATAACTACGAGCTAGAAAAAAACTAGCGACAAAAAACTTATGAACGCTAGTAATAATCACACGATTAAGGTACGACAAGGCGACAGGACTAAAAACCACTAACCAATATAATACTACACGAATATACAACAATATATGTATACAACAACAACAATAATATTGTTATAATATGCGACCCGATTTGTGTAACTAACGTTACAAGGGTCCGATGGTCGCCCCATGATAATCAAACAATCAACCATATAATAACAATGCCGATAAAACGAACGCTGTTTACGGTAATGGCATTAATTAATTAATTAATCATAAAATACAAAAACAACTATACTATACATTAATAGCAATGATTAAATTGACGAAAAAAAAAAGCAACAACAATACCATCCACGATACTGAATGAAAATTTCATTATATTATGACTGGTTATTAAGAAAATAGTATAATACAGTTATGATGATAATAAGTGTGAGAGGAGCAATGAATGGACGGCATCGAACGACTATAAGAGTACAGAATATTATTACTGTTATTAATATTGTATATGCCTGTGTGTGTGTATGAAGAGGCCCGAATGACTGAATTACCAACAATACTAATTATATAATTAATACCGAAAAGCATAAAGAGAAAATAATGGCACTGAGAAACGGTGGGGAGAAGGTTGGGGCTTCGGGAAGAATGTATGTAATGTCGAAAATCTGCTACGCCATGTATTTTGGTCGGGACGGCAGTCTAGTCACGAAAGAGACCTAACTAAGGTCAGTTGACGGAACGCAGTTTGGCGTTCAAGGTTTACTTACGTATATACAACACACTTTGCAAAGATTGACACGTGATGCTGAAAGTGTTCCATGCTTGTACTAACAACAATCATTTGTATCGCTAGAAAAGGGGCATTAGTAAGTAAGGTCAAATATCCATCCATGCGGTTCTAGGCGCAACCTCTGCTTTGGTTGCGAACCACCGTTTCACAAAATACGAGAAAAAAAGGCAAACGCGATGGAAAAATAAATTCGATTGGAGCCGTTACAAACTGAATCGCGGAAAAAGGTGGTGGCCAGTGAAACAGAAAAGCCTGCCGGAGGGAATATTGTTACTCAGATATCTAAAAACAAATGAATCAATCCAGTCTGCTCGTTCTATCAAATCTATCTAGTTACCAAACGAACAGCTGGAGATGAGTGATTAGGCCCCAGTTGCTGTGAGATTATGGAAGATCGAAGCGAAACAGCAGACAACGGAAGAACGGTGATCAGAATCATACTGTAGAGTATAAAAAAAAAGAAACAGCAAGCGCATTACCGTTACAGCATTTTTTCGGGGTTCTCACCATTCTTCTGCGCGTTATGGCAGATCAATGAATATGATCCGGACGATTTTTCAATATCGCGTCGTCCGCAGTGTTTATTAGAATGACTTTTATAATTGATACAATATCTATTTAGCGATTTCGAGGATAGGCAGCAGGAGCGGCTTATAAATAACAAATACACGAAGTAAGCATCTGGCTGCATTTGCATCAAAATTGCAAAGCGAACGGACAAATGTATAGGGCTAATGAGACAAATTTTAAGGACCAAACCGTATATGTGTTAGATTTGACGACATACAGGAAACGACACGATCAAGACAGTTGAACGTTTACGCCTAACAATGTTTACAACAAATAAAGCCATCGTCGTCGTTACGAGAAGGCAAAATCGCCATACCATCAGAATAACGCTCCTTTAGGGAAAATTGAGGCCAACCAATAGTAACAAACAAATCGTCAGAATGGCTTCGCCGCACCGTATTCCATATGATAGGACACGCACACGCTGTCAAGCTGTGCTTGATACAATATAAAAGACAGTGTCAAAATGTTCCCATTCTCATGCGCATCATCGACTGGCCGTACGCGAGCTACGCACGCGTATGCACACATACACACCCACCCACCCACACTGACACATGCATGCCGGCTCAGTTCTGTTTGCTTTGGCAGACCCAAGTGACGATATAAACTTCAGAGCTCGAACATGATGAGGAAACCTTCGGCATGGTAGTGAGAACTTTAAAAACTAATAAACTTTACGCGTGAATTTATTAGTCACTAGTAAGAACTGGGCGTGATGCTGGCGATACGAAGCACGGACGGCAACGACACGCTTACTACGTACATCCAAGACTGATTTTGGGGTCGCTTGCTTTAGGGGACGTCGAACTGAAGCGGCGTTACCTTTATCGACTCCAAAATGAGCGAGGCGAAAGAACATGCAACCTCACACCGGAACCCAATTTTGAGTTTTGGCGAGTCTTCCAATAGCTTACAGAATGTGGGCGAAGAGAGAAAATATTACCTAACCAGATGATGATACAATCGACATTAGTGCTGATAGAAAGAATCATCTTAACATAACATTGAAACAAATGCTACTGCTACTAACACCGCTACGAATTATTATTATAGCAATGATGATACAATTGACTAACTAACTAATAATAGTAACATAATAATAAGTAATAATAGAATTATAACAATTATCCTTGAGACGACGACCGCCGTAACAATAGCAGTTTACATGATGTTATTACTAATATAATAATAGCTAATACTGTGTCTTCTCGAAGACCGGAAGAACAACGAGCGATGAAAAGGTGGGAAAGGAAGGGATCGAAAGTTTATGCCAGAGACCGAAGCTAACACAAGCCTCATGCGAAGTTAAGAGGACGCGCTGTGAAAGCTACAGACAGCGAGGCGCCGACGAGCGATTATTTCAGAGGGCGATTCAGACAAGACGCGGTCCAGC